CAGATTAGAACAGGAGGAGACTGAAGGAAACAGAAGGGAAGAGGGTGCTGCTGAAGATCAACTCAATGCTGAAGAAAGTAGCTCCTCTGAAGATGACAATGCTTAAAGTTTGGTGGAGTTGACAAGCCTGATGCTGGTTCCTGTTGATACAAGTGTTTTCAGATTTTATTTGTTCTTTTTATTACTCATTTTGGATGACTGTATAATATATAAGTACATGTATCTTTGGCCTATTTGTGGCTAAAGAAGGGGGAGATATTTTGTGTTAATTACTTGGTAGACATCATATTTTTTCTGCAGTCATATTCATTATGCTGCTCTCTATTCTCTAATTGCTTAGGGGTTTTAGCCAAAAATCTGCCAAAGGGGGAGTTTGTAAGTGTTTAGTTATTGGCATGTATTTTTGGTAAAACCAGGTGTGTGAATGTCATGACTAATGTCATAACATTCTGGATTATTAGGTACTTTATGCAGAAAAAGTATGGCATACAGTAGCTATTGTTTATGAGTGTGTATCTGAGCATTTTGCAATGATCACATTTATTGTCTTCTACCAAAATCAGTAAACAGGAATTCTGATGTCATAACAAATGTTAAGACATCCTGTACTGATCTAACAGTTATGCAGTTTGGTTAATTCTGAGATTTTTCAGGAAGCTGGTCCATTCTTTCCAGAACAGAATCTCACGTGGACTTTGAGTTAACCTAGCTCAACCCTAATCTGGTTGATAAAGTCTTATGACCTAGTCTTGAGGTTAACCCTAATTAACCCTAGCTTTTCGTGGAAGCCCTAACTGAAGAAACAACTGCATATATATTCAACAGGAATGCTGATTAGAAAGTAACTCTTTGACAGAAGATCAATTAGGAGTTGTATAGTTTTAACTGCTGTAATCCAAGCAAGTATCATTTGTGATAAGTGACTTGGAATAGGTTTTGATTGTAAGGGTTTTTGTATCACTCAAAGCTTTGAAGCAAGAGTGTTTGTGTCTCTTGACTAAAGCTTTGAAGCAAAGTCAAGTTAGGTTTATGTATCACTCAAAGTTGTGAAGCACGAGTGTTTGTGTTACTTGATTAAAAAGCTATGAAGCATAATCAAGTGTATGTTCTGAAGAGTGTCTTCATTATTTCATTAGTCAATTGTTTAAGTATCACTGCTGTGATTGAGGGGGAGTGAGTAGGAACTCAGGTTTAAGTTGAACTTAGATTGAATTTGAATTGGGTAGGTCTTAAGTGAAGGAGATAAACTGGTTGGTTTATTCCTGAATTAATATCTCTTATAGTGGATTTCCTCCCTGGCTTGGTAGCCCCCATAGTAGGTGTTGTTTCACACTGAACTGGGTAAACAATTGACTGTGTTCTTTACTGTTTTTATCTACTGTCTTATAGAAAGTCAGATACGGTGTCATAACATTCACTGACATTGAGTATCTGCTGCGAGAATTTCAGTGAATAGACTTTTAAAATCAAAATCAACCTATTCTTCAAATAAGAATAACAAAAAGTTTTTCAGAGTTTGCACGCGGGAGTTTGTAGAGAGAAAATGTGAAATTATACTCAATTGACAATTATTCGGTAGTAACTCAAATCACTTTACAAATATCATAATGTCTAGATGAAGAAACATAATATATGCAATTCAATTAATTGAATGAGTCACAATATGTGGTTACATAATCAATCAATAAGGCAAATTCTAAAAGGAGAATGTTTCTCAGATTTTTATCACCACTAAAGCTCTTGATAGGTTTCCAATTTTAACAAAACCTAAGGTTATAAATTAAATTTATATTATAAAAATTATAAACCCAAGCATGCATGTTATACGAAATTCAAATACAATATTAAGAGATAGAGATATGACACCAGGATTTATAGTGGTTCGAAATTTTCGTCCTCGCGTGAGTCTACATCCACTTTAATAGTTGTTCCTTTATTTTAACAAATATATTTAGAGTATATACAATCACTAGTCCATGATAATGCTGAAGAAAAATAACAAATAAAATCTTTGATCTGGATCTTGACTTGTATATGGCCAAATGTCAAACCCTCCTACACAATCTTCACTCGATTAATGCTTCCAATCTTCTAATATCACCAAGTCTACTACATGCCTTCATACGTAGCAATCAACCCCTTGATCCTATTGATTCCTTGAGCGGTGAATTGTATAAAGATGTAAAAAGAACTCCATATTATCCATAGCCTTAACACAGTCACTACTAAGGAAACTTTGGAGTGAAGACCTTCTTCTTTTCACTGGAATTTGTCAACACCGATGACAATAACCCCAACCTTACAAGAACCTGAAAAATATTTGAACCAATCTCAAATAATGGTTAGTTTCAAGACAGCGTCTTCCTCAATCAATTAATATTCACTCATGATCAAGATATGAAACTGGAATGAGGTTGAAGATGAAATGTTTCTAATGAAAAGGTTTCAAAAGAGGTGGTTGATTTTCACAGAATTTCACAAGCAGTCATCACAAACGCACAAATGATTATGAATTTTTACTTAAATAAAGGTTGACAAAGGCTTATGCACGTGCTTGAGATGAAGAACACAAAAGACTAAAAAAGATTGGTTAGATTCAAATCAAAGTCAATGCGTGTAATGAGTCAAGTGAGAAAGTGAATGGAATAAAATAGATTCATACTTTTGACCCCTTTTGCAATTGATTCGAATCAAGTGCAATATGTGATTCAAATCATAGGCCTCGTGATTTGAATCATGTGCAATAATTGATTCGAATTAATTGATCAATGGATCTTTAGAAAAATCATAAAAGTTACATGATTCAAATTATGTGCAAAGTATGATTCGAATTAATTCAGACAAAGGTGACATGAAATTGTCTAATTCGAATCATGTGTAAATCCTGATTCAAATCAAATGGTTTTGAAAATTTTTAGTTACTTCTGTTGGATTTAATTCGAATAAAATGTTGTGTGTAAATGATTAATTTGAATCAAATGCATCAAAACACAAGTTTTTCACGATTTTAAAGTTTTTCTTTGCACACGAATTGAATTAAACACACAAGGCTTTTATTCCACAAACTCATGCACTTGACTAAGAACATCTTGAGAAAATTCAAACATAACCAAAGGTTTATGCATGCTAAAAGATTTACAAATTGATTTCAATCTTGATTCATGGTGTGAAATTAATGAGGGAGACTCAATAAAGGATAATGAACGAAAGAGATAAGACCAATAACAAAATAACCATAACAGGGTTTCTCCTCCGCCATATAATAAGGACACACAACCAACCCCCCCTAGGAATGTGCAACTACAAAAATTAGTTATACAGTCATCTGGCAATGGTGGGGGAGATGACAAAGATCAATTGCATCTAAGTGAGGATAAAGTAGTCTCCACCAGTTCGCATCACATGAGGATTTAGTAGTCTCTCCACACTCTCTAGTGTATAAGAGGTTAAGTTGGATGAGTCAGAGATCTTGTTATCAAGTCGGGTGTTGCTATTATTGATCATGTAGAGGTTCCTCCCCAAGATGATATCAAGGTTCCTACTCAAACTGATATCGAGGTTCCTCCTCAAGCTAATACGAGTATTCCTTCTATATAGTTGATACATAGGTGGCGACTCAGTCTGATATAGAGTCATCTGTACACATATTTAGTATGTTCATCATGTGACATTTAGATTATGGCAAAGAGAGGTATAATTAAATAATTTCAAGTTATTTATTTATTTATTTATTTATTATTGATTAATTAAAAGTAATTGATGGCTTATACTTTAATTGTTACAAGACCACGCCCCAATGAAGGTACCCACACATGGGTCAAAGTTGAAGAAATTCTCTGATGTGTAGATGACAGATAAGGCCATGGTAATTGTCATTGATGTAGACCTACTTCTGTTGGTGCGTTGTTTCCTCACCATTCTTGACGCTCCATTACTGTTCGCTTTTGCTGAGTGATGGCACAAGGAGACATCCTCATTTGATCTTCCATTTGCTAAGATGAAGATTACCCTAGACGATGTCTCCATCCTTTTCCATCTCGCCCTTGAGCGTAACTTTTTCAACGCTCTTATCATTAACTAAGAGATTGCATGTATTATGGATGAGACATACCCGAGGTTACACCGAAGATGGTCTTGAAGGATTTTAGGGCTAACAAGGGTCTCATTTCTCTCTTGGCTCTGGAAGACGTATCAAACACTATTGGAACACACTATGTATGAGTCAACCACTAGGGTATACATGTAATATCTTGTGGGATATACTATCATAATGGACAAGTCCCATGTATACATCAATGCCAAGTGTATATCTCTGTTTGCTGAGTTTGAGCATCTTGATTGGGCATGGGGGTGTGTTGCTTTAACGATATTATATGTTATCTTTGGAAAGACTACTGTCTTTGAGACAAGACAACTTGTCGGTTATATGATTTTATTTCAGGTATGAATATTTATTATGTTTTTATTTAGTTCTAATTTATCAAAGATATTTCGTATATGTAATTTCTTCTTCATGTGTAGTGTTTGATATATGATCATTTTCTATCCATTTCTGACAAGAGTGATCGTGGTCTTAACACTGATGGATTGCCTTAGACCACTAAATTAAGGTCCAAACATCCTCATTCAGGCGGTCTTCAAGAGTACAGGTGAATGATCGATGCACTGACCATTGTCGATGTCATATAGACACCCTATCAAATTTCTCATGTTCGAGAGAATTTTCCATAACATTCTTAATGAAAAAAAATTGATATTACAAAAATATGAGGTGCAAGTATAAGTTTAGGGGTGCCAGATAAAATTCTTAAAATTATTTAGTCGATTGACATTAAAGTTATTAGGCCCATATGATAAGACGACCATAAGCCCATTAACAAAAAAAAAAAACACTTTGGCGGCACGGAGCAGCTTCTCCGGCAGTGGCTTATAGGGTTTAGCTTCTCCCGGTCGTCAACAACCGAACCTCACTCTTCCATTTTCGAAATCTCATCTCAAAAATGGCTGAAGGTAACAACGCCGTCGCTGAAACCCCTCAAAACATGACCATTTACATCAACAACCTCAACGAAAAAATCAAAATCGAAGGTACGTTACTTCAATCTATTTCGCATTTTCCATACCAACAATTTCAATAGCCACGTTTGCATACTCTTTTTATGTATTTTGATCTTGATTCAGAGTTGAAGAAGTCTTTGCACGCTGTTTTCAGCCAGTTTGGGAAGATACTTGAGGTGTTGGCTTTCAAGACACTGAAACATAAGGGTCAAGCTTGGGTGATTTTTGAAGATGTTCCTTCTGCTTCCAATGCGCTTAGGCAAATGCAAGGTTTCCCCTTCTATGATAAGCCCATGGTATCAATCATATCCTCTTTTATGTTCCGCCATTCAGTTTTCAGCTCTGAAATTGTTTTTTAATTTTGTTTTTTCAATTGTAATTTAAGGTTTTTAGGGCTTGTTTTTATTAGGATTTAGGTTTCAAGATAGAAATTTTTGGGTGCTGTTCAAATTTATGATAAATGTAGTTATTAAACATGGCATGGATCGAACGCATAACAATCTTTGAAATGATAGAAGCTTCTCTGCTAGAAATTTGTTTTGAAAGTTAGCATAATTAGCATGCCATTGAATTGGAGAAAACAGAGAAGAATGTTGTAGAGTAATGCTTATCTAGTAACCAGTTGTGTTTCTTCAATAGATAATACATTGATCTCGCTTTATTGAAATATGGTAGAGAGATGAGAATTTTTTAAACATGTTGTCTTGAGATGAGTGGCAGTAGTGGGTATTGATTTTGCTATGCTGTTTATGGATTAAATCGTCTTTATAAGGTATGCTTCAAGTCCCTCCCCTACCCTTGTTGAACAGAATAGGAAGATCTTTTTTATGGGAAGGGTTATGGATTTTAGATAGAAATAGTAAATAGTAAAGTAGGACACTATGAAGTAGGAAACAGTAAAGTTGATACCAGGGACTGGCCGAGTACAATTTATCATATTTATCGCCCCCAATGTCAAGGATCCATAGAGTGCCATTGTGATTAATGAATTGTGAAATACAAAGTACAGACTTGTTGGTTTACCATTTTGAGCTTTGTTAACTATGTCTGTTCTTTACGGGGTCTTCACTATAAATGTAATTTAAGGTTAACCTGTAAAAATAGTTATTAGATTAGCTTCCTTCTATAATTATGTTGATTTAGCTTATTTTTGTGTGTGCCTTTGGTTGAGTATTACAAGCACAGCCACATGATTGACCATTGATCCATAGGAGGATTTTCTCATGGACAGAGCGATACCATGATCACCCAATATGTTCTTCTTAATATATATGCATATTGTAACATCAGAATTATAGTTGTATATAACATGTTTTCCACAATATTCAGAACTTTTGTTCTGAGCAGTCGCAGACCAATGTTTTGCATCCCAAAGGTTCATGGGTGGATTTTAACATGACCTGTGTTTATTTCCTTTGGCAAAAAATGAAAATGCACCGGAAAACATGATAGTTATAATTGTGCACCGGCACGTAGAATCTAATGATTCTGCGATCATGCTACCCATTGGCGTGTTCACACATTGCCAGAAACTGTAATTGGTGGAAGCAAATGGGATCGCCACCCAAAGACGTGGGAAAGGTGAAATTGTGCGCACTAGCCGATTCCATTCGTCCTCCTTGCAGTTCTTGGTTGCAGGTCAGGTCCGCGACCTGGTTTCCTTAAAACGGCTATTAACGTTCAAAATCCCTAAAAAACATGTTTTAATTTTGGTGTCACCTGCGACAGTTAGTTACTCACCCCAGATGAAGCATTGCTTGGCTGGAACTCAAAAGATGTGTAAGCATGTAGGGCTGTCCCAGATGAAGTCAAGAAGGAAATGCTGAATTGTTGCTAGTTGGCATCTGGCAAGAAAACTTGCTTAAGAAAAGAAAGAGTCAAGTGGGGGAGGAGACTACTGAGGTTGGTGAAAAAGAATGAGCAAGGCACATGATAATAGTTGTGGAAACATGTTTTGAGAAGAGGTTTTTCGGCTCACAACCTACCATCAATGCAGTGCTAAAGTAGAGGTTGAGAGACGATGCATGTCAAGCAATTGCGAGATTGACAAAAAAAAGGGCCAAAGAACACCCGAGGTAGAGTTAGCGGACGTTGGAACTGATGATGATTGAGTTAGATGATATATATGGAGTCACTTAAACTTTGGATGAGGACTGGTTTCAAAGAATCAAAACCAAATTGGAGAGGATAAGGATGTCTTTCTCGTTCATAATGTGGACGATGAAAATAGAGGGCTGGAGGAAGAGATGATGTCGTAGGCAGAGATGGAGATGGAGAAGATGGAAATGAGGATCCCTTGAATGATTCTGATTTTACCACAACATGAGTTGTTTGGGATTTGAGTGACTCATGAATATAATTTGGTGTTATTTGCATATTTGGAGTTTCTTTTACATGTTTTTGCCAATTTATGCCTATGTTATGAATTTTATGATCCTAAATTTGAGTTTCTTTAAGTATTTTGGATGTGATTTCAAGCTATTTTTTTTACTAAATTCCGTTGTTTTATATGCATATGTATGAACCTATACACAATATATATGAGTTGTGAAGTTGGTATGATCTTATGCATATGTATGAACCTATATACAATATATATGAGTTGTGAAATTGGTATGATCTTACAATCCGTGTAATGGTCCTTTGAGTCACAATCTTGTGACCCCCTCCCTGATCTTGTAGGTTCAAAACATCATAAATACCCACCACTTTGCTTAGAACCCATTAATGTAAAAGGTATATCTAGCTTACTTATTTCCCCCCCTAAAAATATCAACCAAGCTCAGCCACTGCATCGATCCATGATGGTAGTAAGGGGAAGTCCTCCCCAAAGCCTTGACTCCAATTTTTATATCTCTGATATTGTAGGTGAAGTTTGCTTGAATTCACAGCCCGCTTTAGTTGTGAAAAACGCTATTAGGTTCAATTGAGCAAGCTTAATCACTAGTATGTTGATGAAATGATATTTGATTTATGTAGCACATGAAATTATTTTCTGTGATGGATGTCTGACTTAATGGTGTGACATGGCGGAATTTGCGATTATTTCTGAGTGTTTTGAAGCTATAATAATGAATAGTTGCTTGCTTTGTTTGGAGCTTTATTTTAATTGGTCATATACATGGTTCTGTTGCTAGTCTGTGATACAGCTCATTGGCTTGCTGGCCAGACCCGTTTGATATTTTTCAAACCTCTAGAAGAATTTTCATAAATGGTCTCTTTGATATTTATCTCTTATTTGATATGCTAAAATAGATTTATTTGATCTACAAGACAGTGTTGTCCATGGCAGAGAATCAAAATCCCGCCATACCGGGCACTTTGCGATGCCGTTATAGAGGATTATGACTGAAAAACCCGCAATACCGGCCTACATTTACCATCGTGGCGAGCCCAAAAACCGCCATGTATATTCGCCATGGTGGATATTTAATAACACTTACAGCTCAGTCAGTAAAAAAATAGAATTTATCTTGAGAAATGAGTTTGATTATAATCCCACATCTTGTTATATAGGCAACTTAACTTGCTTATTGTTTGGCCTGATCTCCTTCATTTCAGTGGCTGATTCGGATATGTTATTGTTTATATTGTTCCCATTAAAAAGTTTCTCTTGCAAGAAATTGAGTTCAATTTTGTAATCTATGCAGAGAATACAGTATGCCAGGACTAAATCTGATATCATAGCAAAAGCAGACGGTACTTTTGTTCCTCGTGAAAAACGGAAGAGACACGATGACAAAGGTATAACTCTGAGTTCTCTATTCTTTTTTAAGGATATTGCACTGTTAAGTTTAAACCCATATGGGAACATATACAAACTAAACTATGCTCATTTTCTCTTTAAAATGAGGGTCTAAGTCACTAAATGCCCAATAACGGCAGTAAAAGGCCAAAATATGTCATAGATTTTAACGTTTTTGGTATTGGTGGTGGAGGGTTGTTTGGTGGCCAAGGTGCTTTGGGGGTTATGCATTCTGTACTTGATAATGAAGAAGAAAAAGTTCCAATAGATGTAATTTCCGGCTCCAGCCTGCCTCTAGGCAGAAACAGATCGAGTGCACTGCAGAGCCATCATTGTTCAAATCAATGATTCCAACTAGGTTGGCTCCAGAGGCTGAACTTAGTTGATATTGAAGAAGAAAAAGTTCCAACAAATGTAATTTCCAAATCCAGCCTGCCTCTAGGCAGAAACAGATTGAGTTCACTGCAGAGGCATCATTGTTCAAATCAATGATTCTAACTAGGTTGGAACCAAAGGCAGAGCCATTCCCTTGGAGCACACCTAAATATTATTAAAAAGGGAAAAAAATGAAACAAAAAAAAAACGGAGGGGGCCATGCCAAACCCTGGCCAAGGTCAACAAAACCTATAACTAGGAAGACTGGTCCTATTGGATGAACTCTTCACTACAAGGCAGGCAAAAAATCTCACCAAATGAAAGAAGCACCAGCTAAAACAATACTAGCTAATCTAAGGCAATTGTGCTTATTGAATTTAATAAAATTGTGATATTTGTTTATGCTCCCATCAGCAAAGAACAGACTTACACTATACTTTTGGCTTTTTACCATCAAGTATGGTGGATGCAACTCTTTTAATGGAAAGTTATGTATTATGCACTGTATAACTCTACATACATAATCAAATTACATATTCAATTACATTTTTTGGCAGGCAAAAAACGAAAGGACCAAAACGATGCTAATTTAGCTGCAATGGGAATAAATCCTGCTTATTCTGGGGCTTACGGCACAACACCTGCTGTAAGTTTCTCTGCTGTTGTAGTTTAATTTAGCCAGTGGTCATGTTATAGGCATCTTACCAGTTTGAAAGCAAATTATTCTAACAAACAGAAGCATGGAAATTTTTTATTCTGCATTTGTTACATGTTTTTTTTTCTAATAATGCAGCTATCCCAGATACCTTATCCAGGCGGTGCAAAATCCATGTTACCCGAGGCTCCTGCACCACCAAATAATATTCTCTTTATTCAGAATCTTCCCAATGAGACAACTCCTATGATGCTGCAAATGCTCTTTCTTCAGTATCCTGGATTCAAAGAAGTTAGAATGGTTGAAACAAAGCCGGGAATTGCCTTTGTGGAATATGGGGACGAGATGCAATCCACAGTGGCTATGCAGGCGCTGCAAAGTTTCAAAATAACCCCACAAAACCCTATGCTGATAACTTATGCAAAGAAATAGACAACTATTTCTCCAACTTATCGCGGAAGAAAGACATGAAATCGTATATCTTTGCATAGAGTTGTTAATCCATCTAATGCAATAGTTTATCTTCTTAGTTGGTGTTTTTACTCTTAGCAGCCTTGGGTCTTGTATGATTGTAGTTAGGGTAATAACTATGACATTTTTACAAAAATCTGTATTTGGCAAATTATTATCTTTTTTTTAATCAAGGTAAATTACTATCCGATTCAAGTTTATCCATCACTTATTTATTTTACGTTCTTTGGATGTGTCATTTATCATGCATTTTTCTTGTTTGTGAGGACTTCCCTTAATTATTTGCTGGATGATAGTACATGATATCAGAAAGTCTCAATTTTCTTCCATTGTGACAGTTTATTGCTATCCATTGGAAGATCTCACACAATTCCCAAATTTAACAGACAAGCAAGAAACTGTCTTTTAGTTGGGTTACTGTTATTTTCTCAGTGGCAATGGCATAGTAAAAAGCATACATGTAGTACCCTAGATCTTTACTAGTTTTGGGGAGCTTGCTTAAATCTCAAAGGCATTCCAATAATGAATGGGTCACCAAATTAAAGTTTTTGCCCCCATACAAGCAAGATACACACGCCAATATTTATTATACAAGTCCTTAGATTTTATAATGACCTCATCAAGAATCTACCTTCATTTCTTGCACAATAAGGTAATAGTAGACAGAAAAAAGTGTGACTATCTTAAAGTGATAATAACTCCAAACAGCACTAGAAAAATACTCTTCCTTACACCAAATCAAAATGATGTCAGTTGGAGTGTCATTGTTATTATTAACCAAATGAATTGAATATGCGAGTTGGAAATTAAGATTCTTAACTAAATGAGTTGAATTAAAACTATACATATTTCGATTTGTTTCGCTTATGATTTAGAAATATATGTATATATAATACTTATTATTTGTATATTTATTGTAATGCAATAAGAGTATTTTGCAAAAAAAAAGTTATGATAAAAAAAAATTGACTTTTGAATTATGTGATTCAGACAAATTAATCTAATTTAACAAGCTGAACCGAGTTGTTTGTGATCTTAAAACAAATTGAATTTGAATTAAAAATCAAACTGAATCAATTCTTATTAAAATGAATTGAGTTGTGTCAAGTTTGACTTGACTCATTTTCAATCCTAACCAAACCTAATTGAATTGCTTATTCGTGTTACTAATCTATTACCAGACTCTCTTCAGCCACTAAATTGGTAATGGAGTTTTGTAACTTTTTCTCACATAGTTGCACGCATATGCACAAACCATACTCAAAATCTTTCTTCCAACACGCAAACCCAACGTGATCTCATACATGATTCTTCTACTTCACCCACCTAAGCACGTGGGACCCAAATATTCTCAATCCAAACGGACATAGACATTAAGGTGGCTTGTGGTTATTTCTTTGTTACAGTGAGTGAACCTCAAATCTACAAAGACACCGTAATTGTTGCCTTAAAGCAGACATATACATGATTCATTTTGGGTTTCCTTAGACATTGCAACTTTGAATTTTTTTTATGTACTTGCATGATGAGGTGTGCTAGTGTTTCTTTTTACGAGACCGTAACATTAACTGCACACATTGTTACCTTAAATAATGTTATTCTACAGTACTATCTTTGTCAACCTGTATTAATATATAGGGACTATTTTTCTTAGCTCAAGTTCAAGTTCCAGTTCCATTTTCATCTAACTCGAGGTGTGAATGTGAATTTGGTTTTTATAGGTTGAGTAGTCCTTGTTGGAGAAGCAGGACACGTGCAACTATGCTGTGTCTCGAATGTTACTGTATGTTATGGCACTGAATTATTTGCATGTGTTCTGTTTCTCCAAGATGGGTTTCTCTCCTTGCTTCTGCTTCTCAAGTGCTGTCATTTTACTTACTCCTTCGTTTCAAAGTATTGTCATGTTTTATACACTTGTACGTTTCATACTCACTCTATCTCATATTATATTATGTGACGTTTTAATAAATTTAGTGAGAGTTTTTTAACAATGCAATGTCTCTCTAAAATTGGAAATGCATTTGTTAGTACCATATTCTTCATAAAAAAAAAGTCAATATAATTTCACCCTTCAAAAATCAAAAACGAAAATGCATTTCTGATACAAAATCAGAAATGTATTTTCGATTCTTAATAAACAATACACAGAGTGACTCATGTTTTAGTGATAATTGTCATACCCAAAATTTTGACCAAGATACCACCTCTCATCTGCATCATTACATAACAAATGTTCACAAGCGATTCGACCTATTTTTGTCAATTCTCGAATCAGATTTTAAAAATTTATAACTTCTTTAAATTTTGACATTTTTGAGCGGTTGTTTTTGCATATGATTTTTCTTGATATCATCTACAATTTTTCTTTACAAGTCAAAGGCAAATTATACATTAAAAAACCATGAAAAATTGTTAACATTAAAAGTCGTTTCACGAATTTAATAGAATTTAATTCTTAATTTCTGACTATGTTTTGTCCATCATACATTTTACATTTTTCTTCTTTTATTCTTATTTCCATGAAAAATCTTATAAAAAAAATTAATTCATGTCATCTTTATTTTATTTACGTTTTTATTCAAAATATCAAAAAAAAAATTAGTCTCTTTAAGTTTATTTAGATTTTTGTTCTTGTATAATTTAAGTCAAAATTATAGTCTTCTAAATTTAAGTTACTAAAAATCTTAAAAAAATATGTATTAGCATTATTTTATTTTAGCTATATTTTTTAGTCTAAAAATCTCAAAAAAATATAAATAAATCTTTTTCACCTTTTTTAATGTAAATTGTTATTATCACTTGATTCTTTAACTATTTTAATCCAAATTTTTTTTTTTATGATAAATTCACTTTTCTCTTCTTTTAATTGTGATTAATATTGTAAACTTATTATTAAACTTATTATTATTATTATTATTATTATTATTATTATTATTATTATTATTATTATTATTATTATTATTATTATTATTAAACTTATTATTATTATTATTATTATTATTATTATTATTATTATTAAACTTATTATTATTATTATTATTATTATTATTATTATTAAACTTATTATTATTATTATTATTATTATTATTATTATTATTATTAAACTTATTATTATTATTATTATTATTATTATTAAACTTATTATTATTATTATTATTAAACTTATTATTATTATTATTATTATTATTATTATTATTATTATTATTATTATTATTATTATTATTATTATTATTATTATTATTATTAAACTTATTATTATTATTATTATTATTATTATTATTATTAAACTTATTATTATTATTATTATTATTATTATTATTATTATTATTATTATTATTATTATTATTATTATTATTAAACTTATTATTATTATTATTATTATTATTACTTATTATTATTATTATTATTATTATTATTATTATTATTATTATTATTATTATTAAACTTATTATTATTATTATTATTATTATTATTATTATTATTATTATTATTATTATTATTAAACTTATTATTATTATTATTATTATTATTATTGTTATTATTATTATTATTATTAAACTTATTATTATTATTATTAAACTTATTATTATTATTATTATTATTATTAAACTTATTATTATTATTATTATTATTATTAAACTTATTATTATTATTATTATTATTATTATTATTATTATTATTATTAAACTTATTATTATTATTATTAAACTTATTATTATTATTATTATTATTATTATTATTATTAAACTTATTATTATTATTATTATT